ATTTGTGGGGGGGTTTTGTGTGTGTTTGTTTTTCTTTCTCTACTAACTACATATAGAAAAGCAGGGTGTATCAGCCTATCTAAATGCCAGCCATAGAAATGGCAGCAGTGCAGTACAGAGCTGCCACGCTAGCGCTAAGCTTGCTAACCTGAACAGCTTTGGAAGTTTATCTGTGCTCAGCAGAGGGTAATTTTACACTGTGGCTGTACAGGAGGGGCAAGGAAGAATCTAATACATCTTCATTAACTGAGAAGTCAAATGTCACTTCAGCTTTATTTTCTTTGTATCCTATACAATTGACAGCATTGGTCATCTTAACCTCATGTGCTTATTCTGGTTTATTTTAACTGTTTTGATCATAGAAGAACAACAGTGATTGGGACATAGTATGAAAGCAATCTGGTCCCCAAGAATTTTGAGTGGGGCAGAAAGATTTAGTGTGCAAGAGAATGTACCAGATCTTATTAATACTCTGTTATACAAAGTTCACTTGTTAAGAAGTGAATAGAGAAATAAGGACACCACCCAGATTTTGTATTTCTACAAAGATCTAATAAGAATCATGATATTAGGGACAATAACTTATTATTCATCATAGCAATTTGTTAAAGTGCTATGAACTTAAGACATTTTGAGCAGGGTACAAAGAATGGAAAATCTTAGCTAAATGAAATAATGATCTCCTTTCATATAGCTTACTGTGTGAATATTTCTGTGACAATTAAAAAGCTTGTTGTTGTGAACTTACCCAGTCTGGAGACCAGGCATGTATGGTGGGATATCCAGGCCTCATATGAGTCATAAAACAATCAGCAGACTGCTAGAAGCATAATCAGCTGTGTATTAAAATAAAGAAGATTTCAAGCCTCTAGAAAGTAGTTGGAAAAGGCGAGTCAGTTGATAGCAGGTGGGGAGGCAAAAAGTAGAGCTTGTTTTACTTGCTGTACAAATGAAAACTAGTCCTTACTAGAGATCTCCCATGCAAAGGAGGCCCTAATGTGAAATAATGGCCACCTTTGCTTGCTTTAACAACAGTTTCCCCAAATAGCAGTGATCTGAAAATTTCTGCCTATCTTGGGATCAGCCTGGGACAGCAGAGTCTGAGGAGTGTGCCCAGAAAAGCAAAATTCTGGCTCTAAGGATCCTGGGTGCACAATGTAGTAATGAATTGCACTTTATGCAATATTTCTGTATGATGCTAGAAAAAGTAATCATTACACTAATGGAAAGCACAATGCTGACCCAGTTATGACCTAGCCAAATTACGGATAAAAGTAAGGACCGGGTGCAATCTGCAGAGCTTTATTGTGTAGTGCCTGGACATCCTTCGAGTGCATATTTGTGACCTAGCCAGAGCACTTGTTCACCTAATGCCTGGTTTCAGGTTTGGCAAATTGGCTCGGCGATAAGAAGAATAGTTCTGAAAGCAGCAAGAGAAGTGAAGACAGGTTGCATTTGCCCTTGTATCTCCTGACTCACTGAGTTGAAGCGTATTGTAGAAAGGCTCTAACATTGACTTAGTGTTTCCTGGACATTAAAAAAATCTGTGTAAAATCCAGTAATTTTCTCTAGCTTTGGGGAAGTCTCTGTGTAGCTTGTGAATTTTTCTGTAACTAAGAAGGATTCGCATCCCTCCCTAGTTAATAGATCTTCTGATATCTCAGTTTTAAGTCTCTCAATTAAGCATCTCAAAGCATTAATCTTCTCTGGGAAGCTACCCATTTTCACGGTAGGAATATCCAGACTTTGAGGCTAGAACTGCAAATTAAATCTGTCTGCAACTGCTGAATAGCTTGAAAAGCCTTTGCAGGGCAAGGAAGGTGGGAGCAGAGCATGCTGGCACAAGTTGAGCTTTCTTTGAATTTTAGGCCTCTGCATAGGAAGCCTATCTGAGCCAGACAAGCTGTGAAAACTGCCTGGGATTGATGCGCTCTTGCATCACTGACACTTGCATTTCCAGAATTCTGGCACTTGGCTATGAGAACAAAGGCCAGTCATCGCCTCTGACATCTTAATCTTGTTACTTGGTTTCATATCTCTAAAGGGATTTAGCTTTGCAGAGTGTAGATGTGCGTAACTTAGAAATGAGCCTCTTCCAGATGATTTCAAGTTGACTAAACAAACTTTTGCATTTCTTAAACTCTCTGATGGCCCATTTTAAGCATGGTGTGAGTCCTGCAAGTCAGTAAAGGTCTCCTGGGAGTTGTTCAGTTCTTTCCAAATTCAGTATCCTGAAGAATAGTTAGATGAAACTGCTTTATTGGGCGAAGTAAACTAAGAAGCTTTGCTAGAAGACCATGAGATACAAAGAGGGCAGAGTGCTTGTGTAAATAAGGATATATAAAGTAACCCCTGTGCAGGTAGTAGGTTTGTTGTTTCACTTTATACCTATTCTGTTTTAATAGATAGCTTAACTAGTTTATTTGCTCCAAATCTTGATTTTTTGCACCTAAAGGTTTCACAGTCTCCTTTAGCAGTAATTCTCTTGTCCCACATTCCTTTATAACTGACACTGCTTTTGTCTAGCTTTAGGGTACCCAGGGAAGTCTTCAATCAAATAATTCATCTTCTAGCTCTCAAACATATACACTTTTCTGACAAACCTAGAAGCAGGTGTAAGGATACCAGGATTGCTCCTACGTAGAAATGACTTAGAAGCAATCCAAGGTTTTCTTTGCTTCCTACAGTTCAACAAAAGCAGTTTCCTAGACTGAGGATGTTCAGTACTTGCACAAAGTTCTCAGCATGATGTAATACTGTGCTTGCTCTTTCTAAACTTGGGTGTTGATTTCTGTGCCAGAATCCCCTAAAACGCCAGCATATTCTACCCTTTCTAGTGCTTTAAACTACTGATACGCTGACCCACTAGTAAGAGGAGTTGCAAGTCACTACGAACATTTTCAGCTAAAACAGCAACTGCATATTAGCAGTTGCCTCACATACTGCAAAATATCTTTTCACTGGCAGTGGGAGGCATTTTAATCTTCATATCACTTTGCTAAGTACTCTAAAATCTTTACAAGCTGCCTTACTATATTTTAAAGAATTCCTAAACTTCCCATACAACTAAAGTTGTATGACACACATACAACTTGCCATATGCAACCAACTTTTAAGTAGTGTAAGATTCAGGATAAAGCTGGAGATGCTGCTGTCAGTGGTGGTACCAGCTCCTATTGCTGCTGACAATGGTGCCTGGCAAAAAACAAAATATTTGGAAGCTCTTTTCCCTCCGGCGCACTGGTAATCAAAGATGACCAATTTTTGGATAGAATTTTAAATTAGTAGTTCACTTAAATGCTACAAAGGCCTTATGAACCTTGCTAAAATCTGTTAGTAATTTTACAAGAACAAGTGTTTTTCAAAAGTATTAGGGCTCTCCTTGTCTGCCATAGCTTATCAGCTCCAGTACTAGTTCTAATAATGGCACATGTGAGTCTTCATGTCTCTTTAAATTCCTCTAGTAAATAGAGGAACCATGCAGTGCTTGCATACCATGCATGCAACTGGTAACTTTCTGCTCTCTACAATGTGTCCTACTGACACTTTTGGTAATATATTAAGCTGCAATGCGGGATTTCCCAGTCAATTTCATTTGCAATAGTAAGCCAATAAAATCCATATATATTAAATGAAAACAGTAGTGTACCAAGGTGAGTCCTGACTGTTATTTTCCCTTTCTATGTCTGCTTCATGTGAAGATACCTCTGTTTTTCCTCCACAAACTAAAATCACTGTAGAAAAATTAGCAATCCATCCCCTCCTCCCTCCCAACTTTGCCTTGGTTTCCAGTTTTCAGAACCAGCTAGAAAAACAAGAACTGCAAAGAAGCTGCTTCTGTTGTTTTGCACACTGAACTGCTCTGGAAATTTTGGCAAGCAAGTAGCTTTTCACCTGATAGGAACTGACCAGTACTACTGAAGCCAATGATATAATTCACAGCAACTTCTATAAATGTTCAAAAGAGCACAAATATAACTGACCTCTTTAGAATTAGTAATACAATTCACAATGAGAGCTAAAGAAACCTACGTACAAACATTCTCTGTGGGTGTATACATGCTGCTATTAAATTATGAAAATGATCTTGTAACAGTATGTGTTTAAACAGGCTTCATTTAAATATCTTAAACCCTACAAACCATTGATTTGAAATTCTGCTAAAATAATGTTTTTTAAAAACTCTAATTTGGATATCTGATATCTTAAAATGACTGCAGCTCTACCAAAAGGCTTGCTTTAATCAAATTTCTCCTAAAGAACTGTAAGATTCAAACTGCAAAAATGCATTGTAATTAGCATGAAATTGTAACTTTTTCAAGCTTCACAAAACTGCTCGTGAGATGAATGTAGTTACCACTTCAGCAGTGATGTTTTCTGTCACTAGATGAGATAATGAATGTCAGTCTGCCAAAGACTGAATAAACCTACACATAGCTGAAAAGCCCATGTAAGCACAAGAATTGCATCTGTATATATTTCTGCTGAGCTGAACCTGCTTATTCCAGACTGGTCATACCATTTTGGGAGCAAGATCAGTCAATGGAACATCCAGGATTTCAAGCACAGCTTGAGCTGTTGCAATCCTACAGAATAACCAGGATTTCAAGCACAGTCTGTGCTGCTGCAATCCTGAAGAGATATTATCAAGAACCCGCGACCTTGTTTGTGCCAGCTCTACTGGCATTTACAAGGGAGTAACAAACTCTCTGATGTTACTTGCAAAATTCTGGGGGGTGGGAACTGATATTTGATATCCTTATTCAATAGCAGCACAATCTTTCCTCCGTTTCTTGTTGTATTGCTACTATTTCTTTTGGATTTAAGTTTACATTCAAAAATATTTTTCTTGTTAACTGTAAATCTAAGTGTAAATCTAAGTATAAATCTAAGTATGCACATGAGATACAGTCTACAACGTCTTGATATTCCCAATGATATTGCAAATTCTATACAACAGACTAGCAAGTTCTCAATTAAATAAGACTTACTTTACCTACCAAATCTGGTTTCAGTTTGTAGGTCAAAGGAAGGGAATAAAGTATGGAGTACAGGGTTGTTACCACGGAGGAGGTCCAAGACTGTCTAACCTCACGGCTTCTGGGAATGCGATCAAGGGTGAACTGGAAGAGAGCATGATAAGCTGAATTTTAATTTCTCTAAGAATATTGTTGTTCTTCTATAGAATTGCTGGATCTGCCTGTGCCTTTTTTTTTTTAAACTACTCTTGAAGTGTTTGGATGTGTAATCTTCTCTTAGGTGCTGTACTTGGTGTCCTGTGTAGCACTTCTAGGAGAAGAGTACAACAAAATACCAGAACTATGCATGTAGGTTTTTTTTTTCTTTTAAAAAAAATCTCTTCTACTGTTACTTTTAAACATTCCTAACTCAATAAACAACTTGGCTAGAGCAACTTCATTTGCAGTATGTTAACTTCGTGCCCCACCTAGTGGTTACTGTGACATATTTCTAGGTTTGATTAGATTTAATCCAAACAATATGGCTGTTCTGTCTTTTTGCCAAAGAAAGTAACAATTCTTCTCAATTAATGTCCAGTGCATATTACTAAAAATTTAACAGCAAATACCATCATTCTTTAAATGACTGATCAATGGGTGTTTAAATGGAGAGAAGTATAAGAACATCTTTTCATTACAAAGTTCAGGAAAAAGTCTTCTTGGTTCTTTTCATGTATAAAAGTGTTTTCGCCTCTAAACACAGCACACAGTTAACTGCACTAGGGCACCCTGCACTCTTCCCAGGTAGTTTTACCTTGACCCAGAGGCATCACATTGAAGGGACACCCTGCCAAACCACCAGGCAGGCCTGAGAGCAATGAAAGTTTTGACTGTTTAAATGCAAGACAAACATATGAGCTGCAATGCAGTGTTCAGTGACACTGACACAATTTTTTATATATCTGGACAGTGGTCACTAACTTCATAGGGGATACCAGATCACTACTATTCTTATGGAACTCATGCTGAAACTGGGAGACTCTGAATGCTGTCATAAACATTGAAAATTCTCCTTTTTCTCCATCGCACCATTTCTAATTGATATAGCTTAGCCCTGGTGATTTGTGACTGGAAAAGATAATGTTGCAATATCTGCACATCAAAAATAAAGTCAGCCTGAATAACAAAAGCTGGCACCCTTCTTGGATGTAGGATGGAAAGGATTTTTAAAAATAAATAAAAATGGAGAATATTAAGTTATTTTTTGAGTGAAATGTTTCAATGCAATAAGCTTTAATTATTATGATACTGGAAGGCATTAACACATATTACAAACTATTTGTTTTATGTTTTATTTGCAGGTGTTGAAACCCTGACTGCACCAGTCTGACAACAGTACATGGAAAAATCAACATGCCCCTTGCTCCCCATTCAACAGGCATCTGGTTATCACTAGCGCTCTCTTTCATGGAACTTTGGAAGAGATCAAGTGATAAAGGAGAAATGCCATAAAGTGGAGTTTAGAATCCTGCAGTATCCTTTAATGAATAACTGTTGTTAAAGTATCTACACAAACTTACAGTAGTTGTAGAAAATATTCTATAAAGGTGTCAGTAACTGAATAAGACTCACATTTACTTAGGTAAAAATTTTTAAATAGCTTAATTTTTCACTGACTTATATTTTGCTCTACAAACTTAAAATTTTTGAAGTTCATAAACTTACAAAAGAAGAAAAGCTGGAATATTTGCCTAAAAGGGAGCCTGAATGTTTTTAATGTAGCAGGACAAAATTTCTTGATTTAATACAGACAATTTTAGAGCATGGTAACACAGAATAATTTTAACAGTGAAGTTACCTTTCAAAAATATATATTTTTTGCATTTACCATGCTCCCATAGGCAAAGATCAGGCAATAGTATTAAAGCCTGCAATAAATATGGATGACAGCGTAGCTGTGTGCAGATCAGGCTTCAGTGGACACACCCCTCACGGGAAGAATGTAGCTAAACAATCTCTGCTTAAGAAAACAAACAACAAACTGCATACAATTTTCTTTATCACGGAAAATTGATTTCAGCAAAAGTTGGCAGGGACCCCTTGTGGTATCAAAGTAGAAAACTATTTCTAAGATGCAAACAGATCAAACTTGTTTCAGCTATATTATTCAAAAAACATGCTTGAAACTTTGCATGCCAATGTCTATCTTTTATGTTAGAACTTTGACCTACATATCAATCAACTCTTGAATATTAACTTGGGGGGGGAGGTAGGGAACAGATTTTGTTTGACATCAGAGATAGGCAATTTTATCTCCTATGGTCTCATGTTGTTGCATTTACTTTCCATTACTTCTTCAGCAGAGTCAGAAACCTTCTCGTTACTTGAGCCAAATGTTCCAAGCTGGCAATTCCAAACTGGTTGACTGAGGTACTGCAATTTTAAAATCAGTGATGTCCTTTACCTAGTTAATGTTGTTCTGCAAGCATGCAAGGAGAAGCTGTGGAAACTTGCCACTGCTGTGATTTACTATAAAGTGCTCAACTGAACACACAACAGCCCTTCTAAAGGAATTGGCTTTATTTAGCCGCCTTTCCTGGTGAAGGGTAAAATCTCGTTGCATGCTTTCTTTCATGAACCATAAAATGTAAAAGAATGTGTGGCTGGAAGAGCATTATGTTAAGACCGGTTAATTTGGTCACCCATCCCAAACATGAGGATTTGGGAAAAATTGAGGTGTAAGTTGCAGGGAAGAATATAAGTTGAGCTCTTCAGTCAGCAAATCTAAGCGATCCTTCTGCTGCTAGACATGGTCAGCAGGAGCTGAAGCAAAATCTTTATCCTGAGTGCATCAGCTCTGTGGGAGCCATGTAGAATAACCTTTGTTGCAAGTTAAAAGGAACAGAGGACAAAGAGGCAAGCAAGAGCAGAGCAGGACACCTTCCACAGGAGGCATCTGACTTGCTGAAACCTTTTTTTTTTCTTTTTCAAGAGACTTAGTAGATAGAGATGCAACACTTCATTTCTTGTAAGTAAGAGGTTTGTTCACTCTTCATTTCCCTCTCCCCAAATTCTGCAGATTTAGGACAGGGATAAACCACAAATCAAGAAGAGAACTTGATTTTATATATATATATATATATTTACATGGTAATTTGTTAAATGAATACATTGATTTTCTCTTAGATCATTATTACTGTAGTTATGTCATCTGTCCAGTCTTTGACTCGTATTCACTATCTATTTCTGTAAAAATCCTCCTCTTGAACAGGAAGAATAAGGGACTGACAACAGGCTGTACTTTTCAGAGGTTTTCCATTAATTTATTCAAGGCTGCAAGAGGCCACTAATACCTGACTTTTAAATATCTTATGCTCTATAGCACCACCTGTGCCAAAACATATGGTAGTTGAAAGCCCGCTGAAAATTACAAATATTGGAAGAACTTATCTTCCATTTTCACTTTGAATATTTTTGCTGAGTGGCCAGTATGCACTGGAGGAAAATTAAAAACAAAAAAAAAAGAAAAAAAAAAAAGAATGGCTAAATGAAAATGAGTATCCCCTATCTGGTTGTGTTCCTCTAATCTTTCACCTTCAACAAAAAATTAAGTACATGATTCTATTAGCAGTTGAAGGGATGGAGAGTGGAAGTTGCTTAGTAAAATGACCTAGATGAAAGCTCTGCAATACTTTAATACTCAAAATATATATTTTAAATTTAATAACTTAGCTTTGAACATTTATCAGATGAGTGAGAAGCACTAGTTCTTTAAATGAATAATCAATTACCAAAACAACATTTATCTGAAGAGCTACCTGAAACATTAGTGACAGTAGATGAATTACTTTCTAATTACCCTTAATTAAACTCTCATCTTTAGCATTCAATGGGAGGAGAGACTGACATGTTGAGTTTTAAACTGAGTCATCCTCACTTGATTCAGCACCTTGGGGTGTGCAAGTAACTCATTTTCAAAGGTGAAAGTGGTGAAAAACAAAATTTTGAATGTCATTGCTAAGTCTGTTGCTCATATTCGCAGCACTTTCTTTACATTAAAAGGACTGATTTTGAAAATCATTAGTACTGAATCTTATAGCCTTTAGTCTCAGTAGTGCTGCTGACGGCAACAGAAATATCAGCCATGTGTCATATGAAATCAGTACCAGGCAAATAATTAATTTGCAGCATGTTGTACTACTTGCTTTAAAAGACTGAGATTTAAGTAGTTGCTAAGGTCCTTTCCATTTACAGGTTTATTCCACTGATACTGTTCTACTAATTTCACTAGACAGCAGATAATACTTTATATCAGCAGAGTCATATTGTTAATTAATAGTCTATCTGTTAATCATACAGCAAATAGCTCAAAGCAGGCAAAGATCTGATGAAAAAGTAATGGAATCTTCTCACAATCTTATGATTTTTAAATAAAATAAAGCGATTTTTAGGAGTTCAGAAGACTGATTCAGCATTTGCTCAAGTCATCAATCAGAAAATTATCAAATGTACACTAAGAGGTAGTGTACATTCAAAAAAAAAAACATAGTAAATGCTAAATTTTAAAAACAAAACAGTCCAGTAACACACAAAACACAACCTCAATTATGGCTTTTCTAAGGTTTTTTTTTTCCTTTAGGTACAACATTTTATATACCACTTCTTTGAAAAATATGTTACTGAGGAGAATGGTGAAATAAAACACAAAAACCCTTCTGCATTTCTCTCTCAATATTTTTACAATTACAAATAACACTTTATTTAGTATACAAGATTTAAAAAGATATTTATTTTCAGTATGCTTTTCTAGAGCAATAGATAGTCTTCTATGTATAATCACTCTTGCTACAACTATGTTTCCTCATTTCTTTCAAGGGAATAACATGTTAAACAGAGGTAAGTACCATATTAAAACAAAGTAAGGAAAGTAACAGTGAAAATTAGAAGGAAGAATGGCAGTGGATGCTATTTTAAAATGTATTTATTTTCTATTTCCTGAGTCTCTAATACAATAATTAACAACTGTGCCTTTCTAGTTCACTTTTAGAAATGTGAAAAATAACGTAGATAGAAAGGTAACTTCTGCTGAATTTTAGCAAAAGTGATTATCAATTGCTATGAAAATCAAATAAATACTGATCTTAAAAATCCTATTCAAGAATCACTTTCACAGTGTCTTGTTATGATCAAAGAACATGCTTAACAAGTTACCTGGGAATTGGAGAAAGTTTCAGCTCTTTTTTGTTCAAAAGAACGTATTTTAGCTTCACTCATCTTATCTGAGTCTGCAAGAATATAATGTCGAGGAGAGTATGACTCTGACAAACAACTGAGTAACCTCAGGATTTCTGTTGTGTGCCCACCTGTTTAAAAAAAAAAAAAGAGTAAACTGTAGTTGGTATATGAAACATTTTGTAATTTCCAATTTCTTCAGCTGAATCAGTCCCTTTTCCTTTTAAAACTTATTGGTGCTAATAATATCAGTCACACTTTTCTACAAGTAAAGGATTCAGCTACAAGTTATTTGAGATTAAATAACGGGAATAAAATTCAACTCCCATTGAAGCTACATCAGTAGAACCTTTTCAGCTTAATAGGCTTGAAACAGATTCACAAAGAAGAGAAACATTTGTTTAATGTCCTGCACGCAATGCAAAATAATCAGCAGAGATACATTGTAGTCCAAACTCAAAAGCTGCAATAGCACGGGACAACTGTCAGAACGAAACCACGCAGTATGACTCTCCTTGAATTCACTTAGCAATCCTATGACATGAAGACCAGATGCAGGGACTCCACTTTCTCCAATCATAACACAGAAATCACGTAGGCAATGATTTTGCTCTGCTGCTGAGCCCGTCTAAAACCTGAATGCCGACAGAAGGAACAGTCCTGCTGCAGTCAAATGCTCCCCCTGCTCCCCTTGAATGGGCTCAATGGGTGTTGACACTCTTT